TGTCGAGCGATCCCGACCGATCGAGCGGAGCAAAACGGGCCGGGATGTCCCGTCGGTCTCGGTAGCCGCGTCGGTGAAAGTAAACCGAGAGAATCCGCGGATCCCGGAGCGATCCGATCGCCATGCGCGCCAGCCTCCCCTCCGTCGAGCAGGATATCGTTCGAGCAACGACCGCGAGCAAACCGTGAACCGATTCCTCGTCGTCCTTCCTCGCCCGCGAACCTCCGCGTCTGGGTAGCCAACGAATCGGACGGGAGATTTCCGGCAGTCGGCAACGATGACCGTGGTAACGTCGAATGGTGGACCGCGGCCGCCGGAGATCGCGAAGGGAATTGCTCGGCCACCGATTCAATGGACCGTTCTCTTGTTGCAGGTTATGGAGGAGACGAACACCTACGTTACGTGGCCGGCTCGACTGAAGATCGGAGCGAAATCGAAGAAAGGTGAGCGAGCTCTCTGTCCCTGACGCCGCCGAGAAAGTTTCCGCGAAGCGAACGTCCACCCGGAAACGACCGACGAACCGATGACGCGTCGTCGGCCGGGCGGCCGTCTGCAAAGTTCGACGACTTTTGCGACCTTGGGAGGACGGATTCGAACTCGAGTCATACCCTGTTATCCGCTCTACGCGGGCAGATCGCTTCCGCCGAACCTCTCGCTCCGCGTCCCACGTCTCTCGCGTTTGTCCTTTCGATCGGCGGCTGTCGATCTATAGATCGCCGCGAGGCGGTCCGCGCGCGGATACCAGATTTCGAAGAAATCGCGTCGCCCGCGGACGCGGGATTAATTAGAGCGCACCCATTAATCGAAAGTGATTACGAAACGACGCGCATGCCTGCTCTGGCGCAGCAGCGCGTGTCGCGGCGGTGAAATAAAACGCGACCGACCGGCTGCGCCCGTAGAACCGGGCAGCGCGCGTCTACTTACGTTACCGCAACGCGATCCTCCGGGAGCCGCGGAACGGCCGGAGTCCCGGAGGCGAGAAACCGCTCGCGCTTTCGACGCCGGTCCCCGTCCCGTCGCGACGCGTTCGTCGCAATGTTGTCCGCGTCCGCCGCCGTGGAAACTTTTCGGTGATTCATCCCTTCCTCGTGACCCGAACAGCTGTTACGGTCCCTCCTCTTCCACTTCCTCTTCCTCCTGCCGCGCCGCGTTCGCCGACCACCGGCCACACGGGGCCGATCGTGCGTGACAACGCTCGTAATCCGATATAAATAGGACCCACCTCCTACCGATTCGCCGCGTTCGTCGTTCTATCCGCCTTTCTCCCGTTGTGTTGGGATCCCGCGAGTTCGCCCACCGTTCCGTTCCGTTCCGTTCCCTTCCGTTCCGTTCCGTTCCGTTCCCTTCCGTTCCCGTCGGTTCCGAAGGACCGTTACTTTCGCGTTTCCGCGGCGACGAGCTAACAAGCGTCGTCGCGCCGGTTGGAACGAGTCGCGCGAACGGGCGTGACATTCGACGATAGAATTATTCCACTTTCGATTCCTTAAAAGGTCGAGCGCGAGCTGAACGGTATCCGTATCTCCTCTCGGCGATCGTGAAATTATGCAACGGTTTTTTCACGATCACTTTTCCCTCGATCGTGTCGCGACCCTCCTCCGTTGCTCCGGTTTTGGCCACCTAGATTCCGGTGTTCTTTCGTCGCGGGGACAGGAATATATCCGCTGATACGCGTGACGCCGATGGGGCCGCGTTACGCCTATCGCTACGGACGATCGGTAAACAAAACAGGCCGGCGCGCGGTATCGGCCGTATCGGAATTCGGCGATAACGCGCGCGCGATGCGAGGTCGAATCTTCCTCGCGAAAAAGAATGTAACTGGTTTTCGGGCGTTCGCAAAGGCTAGGCGAGAATCCTTGAGTTATTACGAGAGCCGGCTCGCGCGATACCAGCGATACGCGCGATACCGGCTTTATCGTCACTTGCATAGGACGCCGCGATACGTCGAACGCGCCGAGATAACTCGGCCGACGCGAAACGCTATATCATCTGCAATAACTTCTCGCGGCCTCCTTTCGCCTTTCGAAAATAGGCGGCGCGTTATCTTTTTCTGCCCTTTCGTTCTCCGCGTCTTCCCGTTTTTCCTTCTGTCCGCTCGACGATCGGAGCGGAGATCTCGGCGACTCTCCGCGAGCGCGGCGGTAGCTTCCGCGCGGAGAAAATGCCGACGCATTCGCCGGGAGTCGGTGGGGGTCGGGCAACGAGCAACTTTCGCGTCAACCAGATCCGCGGAAAGCGGAATCGTTGAACGCGATTACGCAACGCGGCCAATTACTCCGGCGAAAATGGTTTCGCGCTCGTATCGTCGCGCCTCTTTTACTTTGAGAGCCGATCGACGCACGGTGGCCTGGAACCGTGAAAACCTGAACTAAACTCGTGTTTCTCTCACTTTTACATCGGTGTATATCTATCGAACAACCTGTTCCGAGGGATTTCGTGATCGTAGATTCCGATTCTGGCGTCGGTTTCTTAGTAACGCGAGAAACTACCTTCGCGAAACTACCCTTACGATAGGTCGATCGCTTCGGAATGTGATTTTCGGCGGAAAATATACAAACTTGACCTCTAAACTCAATAATTAGAGTTATCGTTGAAGATACAGGTTTTTCGAAGGTTTCCACGATTCTACTGCGCGTTTCGCGTTATTCGCCCGATCGACGGAGGATCGTGATCTATTCGACCGTTTTCACGCTACCCAGATATATTTAGATCGATTCGCGAGCGTCGATCGTCGGCGAACCTCGGTTCTCCGGAAGAAATCTCCTCGGATTTGTGAAAACGAGTCGAATCGGATCGGAACGAACCGTGCCGGATCGAATCGGATCGTTCGCTGGGAATGCCGCGGAACGCGTCACTGGTCCTTGATCGATCGATTCACCGATGACGAGCGGAGATAGCGTTTCCGTGGACACGCGTCATCGTTCTCTCGCGAATGTCCTATCCGCCGGCTGTTATCTTCGCCGTTGGCCAGCTGGAACCGCGAGACCATTGAAAACCGGGATCGTTTTCTCGGCCGACCACTCGATCCGGCCCCGCCGATAGTTTCTCGCAATAATAATAACTCGCTGCCACGTTGTTGCATAATTTCTTTCGACGGTCTTTTACAGATCCGCATATAAAGGTCGCGGGTCGACCCGATGACGTGCGAGCCGCTAAGGAGAAGATAATGGAAATTTTGGACACGAGGGTAAGAAACGTTCGTTATTTCTCCATACCGCCGGAACGTCGCACAGCGTCGCGAATCGAGCTGCTCGATGGACAAAACTGTTTTCTCCGTGCAGATCTTTCGACATCTTTTACGCGTAGAAATTACCATCGCCGATCGATCGAATTTTGAAACATATAACTTGCGAATCGAGACGATTGTCTCTTGGCAAACGCTTTCGACGTTGAAAAATTCCGCTCATCGGGCAGCGATGCGCGTAAGAACTCTTGTTTTCGAATCTTCAAGAATGAGACGCCAAAGGTCACCGGACGCGAAACCACGCCTGCACTTTCCTACAGAAAATTCTGTTGCGCCTCAACGTCGGGACTCCGTACCTCCGCAGTCCTATTGCGAGACAATACTTTAGCCCACGTTTGTTTCAAAAATCGAGTCGAAGACTGTTTAAAGTACTCGAAACTTGCAACATACTAAATTATACATCGAACGCTGAAACAATAGAAGGGAACTACGCACTGATCTCTCGCTCTTCGAGCAATTCGATCGTTCGTTCGCAGCTCGGTATTCCAAAGATGAAAATTCCACCGCGAAACGTGGACGTTCGTCGAGAAAGAGTTAAGACGCTCGTATCGTCCGTCGAATTCTCTATTCCGACGCAGTCGGGCCAGTTCAGTGGAACGGTTCCGAAGCCGTTCGAATTTCGCATCGGGGAAAAATAGAATTCGCGAGCGAAATCGCGCGACCAGTGTCACCGCGACGGCTCTTCACCGAAACGTTACGTCATTCGCGGCCGTACGCGATTAGCGGTGACCTCGCCGATCGGATTTTGACTTTCGGCGTGCCGAATTGATCGGCTCGAGCCGCGTACAAACATTTCTCCGGCGTTATCGCGGCGATAATCTGTCGAGCGATAAAAACCGCCGGCCGGGTTGCGTGTGTAGCGAAAGCGAGACTTCTGTGACGGTGTGTCCGTGTAATCGATATCGCGATATTGATTTTTCGTAGCGCGGTATTTTTATGTTGCCGATCGGACGAGGTAAATTTCCATTATACTTCCTGACGCGCGATGCGTCCAGATCGGATCAACGCCGGGCGGCGGGCTGGTTCGAGTGGTTCGCGCGGCTCGCGAGCGCGATCGAACCTGTTGCTTCTCCCTGGAATTGTCTCGGCCGTCGAGGAAACCGTCGAGAAAACCGTCGGCCGCCACCACGTAGGAAGAAGCGGCCATTCTATTTATACGCGTCCGCGCGCGCGGAGGATCCCGTCTCGCGAATTCCCAGCCGAGAAAGCGAGACGCGGCGCGCCGTGACGAACCGCGGGCTCGCGCGAACCGTGCATACGAGCAACCCGACGAGCACGCTCGACAGCCGTCCGCTTCGCGCTACACGGCGAGCGAGCGAGCCGCGCGTACCCGGTTACCCGCACCGAGTCGCGCTTCGTATTTCCAGCTCGCGTACCGTTATCTCCGGCGCGACGCAATATCTTCCTATGCTGGCCCACGCAAGCTTCGGACACCTTCCCTTCTGTCCTCTCTCTTTGTCCCGCAGCCTGCCGATCCGGTTGCAAGGGAAACGCAAGCTTGCGCCGGTCGGCGGTCGCTGAACGCGCGATCCACTTCCGCCCCGCTCGTCGGCCCGCGATCGTTCACGACAGTTTCCATTGCAGCAGAGCAACAGGGTCACCATGAAGCTGGACGTCAGTTACACCGATCATTCGCACATCATCGGGAAGGGCGGTCTCACGATCAAGCGCGTGATGGAGGAGACCGGATGTCACATCCACTTTCCGGACAGTAACCGCAGCAATCATCAGGAGAAGAGCAATCAAGTGTCCATCGCTGGCGAGATGGACGGCGTCGAGCGAGCTCGCGCTCGGGTTCGAGTAAGTCGGAGTCTGTTTCTCGAAGCTGTATATCAGAGATTGACGCTGGTCTCACTTCGCTGGTTCGTTTCGCAGAATCTGACGCCGCTGATCTTCTCGTTCGAGTTGCCGATCATGGGGGCGTCGCAGGCCATCCCCGACTCCACCTCGCCGTACGTGGTCAAGATCCAGGAGAAGTACAACGTCCAGGTTATGTTCCGGACGCGGCCGAAGCTGCACGCCACTCTGGTCGTGGTGAAGGGCTGCGAGTGGGAGGTGTCGCAGGTCAAGGAGGCGACGGTACTGCTGATCCACTACATGTGCCAGAATTTGGCTGTGAGTAGAACCATACCAGCTCGCGTTCGACGAGCGGGAATCGGCGGACGCCGGTGCGAGCGGTTCTCTGAAACTCGTTTTCCCCCCGCAGAACCAAATACAAGTGCAAATGTCGATGGAGATCTCGCCGCAGCATCACAGCATCGTGCTGGGCAAGCAGAGCAGCAACCTGAAGATGATCATGCAGCGCACCGCCACGCAAATCATGTTCCCGGACGCCGGGGACCCGAACATTCCCAGCCTGAAGAAGAGCAACGTGACGATCACCGGTGGCATTCACAACGTGTACCTGGCGCGGCAGCAGTTGGTGGTAGGTACCGCTAACGAGTCCGTCCCGTTACTCGATTTCGGTATCCCGTTAAACCGACGACGCATCCTGCGGACAGGGCTCCCTGCCGTTGGTCCTGATGTTCGACCTGCCGGAGGACTCCATGTCCTCGGTGGACACGGAGAACATCTCGCAGCTGATGCAGTCGCTGGACGTGTTCATCAACGTGAGACACAAGCCGAAGCAGAGCACGCTCTCCGTGATCATCAAGGGGATCGAGCGGAACGCCGGCAACATTTACGAGGCGAGGATGCAGCTGCTGGGGCTGGACGACAGCAGGGTGCACGCGGAGATACCGGCCACGTACCACGTGCCGAACGCCGGGAACATTTTCCAGGGGAACGTCGGGAACGGTACGAACGGTGAGTAGACTCGCGCAGAGCGTACACGGTCCGCTGCCTCTCCATCTCGGCGCGCGCTCGAACGATCGTGTGACGCAGGTGGATCGTGCGGAGCCAACAACAATCTGGTCGGTGGTCTGTCGGACAGCCTGTCGAGTATGTTGACGGTGAACACGCAGAGCTCCCCGTATTGCGTATCGCCCGTGCCCCATTCGCCAAGTCCGATGGGGTTGTCGCCTCATTGGGGATTACCGTCGATATCGTCCATGTTTTCGCCGCTGCAGCTCCATCACCACTCGTACCCATACGCGCACCTCAATCATCTGCTGACCACGCAACACGTGATGCACAACAACACGATCCCTCCGCATTCTCAAGGGTTACAGAACCACGGGTTCAACGGGGTTGGACAGCTGCACGCGAACCTGTCCACGGGATTCCACGGGTTCCACGGGCTGAACAGCAGCTCGTTGTCCGACCGGAAGGAGCGCAGCGGTAAGTCCACGTGAACGAGTCGTCTCATCTTAACACTAGAGGTTTGCACTGTGGTTTCTGTATTACTAAGGCAGTTTCTCTAGAAATATTCTCGGAGCATCCGTTATCCTTTCAATAACTTGAAAGAGCGGAATCGTTGCCATCCGGTAGTTCCACCGTTAAAACGCCTCCGTGTGTATACTCATGCATACTCGTGCGGTTTTCCAGCATACTCGTCGCTGAGCAGCGTTTCCAGTACGCTGTCGAGTCCAGCGATCAGCCCGCGGAACGTGTCCCCGGTGAATCCAAGCGAAACCAGCAGCAACTTAGGTGAGTCCGATATCCCCGGCGATCGTCGGCCAGCGGATGACCGTCTGACTCGCGTAGATCTCTCTGGCATGCTGGCCGAGTTGTCGGATCGACGGGCACCCGGCTGCGAGAAGAAGTCGTTGGAGATGGCCGTGCAGCATAATCTGGGCCCCTTCGATTACGAGCAGAAGAAAATGCTGGCCGCGAAGGCGATGCAGACGAAACCGAACAACAACGAGTACCGAGTCCCCACGTCGGCCTGGTCCGGCTACGGACTCAGTCAATCCATTCCTCCGATAAGCGCGACAGACCTGAGCAAGGTAAACGATCTTCCGGGTATTCGAGTGAGCTCCGGACGATCGGTTCTCTGAATTCGCAGGAATTGACCAACACCGTCGGCGGCAGCAACAGCAACAGCAGCAGCAGCAGCAGCGGCAGTAGCAGCAGTGGCACCAGCAACGCCACCACGACGACCACCAGCGCTGCGACTACCCATCCGTCCGACTTATGGAAAGAGCCAACGACGCCGGTGTTCAGCAGAGAGATTGACTTCGGAATAGTATCCGGCAAAGACTGCGTTGGACAGATCGGCATCAGCTCGAATTACATGGATCACACGCCGACTTCGCGTTTGAACGTGATCACGTCTCACAGATACAACGACCTGTCCAGCATGTTGACCAGTGTCGGCCTGGAGAAATATATTCGTGAGTGAGAAATACCAGCTCCCCTCTCGATCTCGGATCTCTAGCTAATCCTAATCGAACTAATCTTACCCCGTGACACTCGGACGTGTCCCGAACGCTTGCTTCCTCCGTGCCGGACGCGCGGAGAGCTTCTCGCAACGCTATTGCCGCTTCGCCGTATACACACGGTGCTCGTTTCTTTTTGTTCGCCAGGCCTGTTCACGTCGCACGAAGTGGACATGGCTACGTTTCCCACGCTGACGGACAAGGATTTGTGCGAGATCGGTATAAACGCTTGGGGCGCGAGGCGCAAAATAATGCTGTTGATCGCTGGTACGTAATCCGAAAGCCGATAATCGGCCGCGAGAGGACCGCTAGGCGGCCGCGCGTGCGCCTCGTCCCACTCCTGACCGCTGTGTGTTTCTTCCTTCCCCTTTCAGAGATGAGTAAACGGACTAGTCCATTCTGCGGGAGCGCGGCCCCGGGCGCGGAACGCAAAGCGACCGCCTCGACGACCACAACGACAACGACGACCGCCTCGATCGACAAGAGCAACCTGGACGCCAACTGGTAAACGGGAGGGGAAAACGCGAACCGGGTACACACGATCAATCCGTTTCGAGCTGTGCTACTTGAAACCCGTACCGCGATCGCGCGAGCAAACATCGCTTTTCCGAAGGCACGAGAATTGAAGTCGGAACCGGAATCGAAATGGAAATACAAATCGAATCACGCGGGCTTTACCTCCACCGACTCGGCGCGTCGGTGGAACCAAACGGATAATCAGTAAGTTAATTTACGATTCTAGGCACCGGAAGAACAGCTCGATGATACTTTCTTTTGTGATCGGGGACCAGCACC